ATATTGTGAGTGGAACGCAGAGACAGGAAGTGATGTAGGGTAAAGATAGGAAGTGATGTTACAAATAAATCAGGAAATCCTGGGAGAGACGCAAGTCAAGAGGAAGTAGAGAGAAGACATTGGTGGAACTGGCAGCAGAGGAGGTAATAAGATCTTATTTTATATTTACACCCAGTAACCCCCTGGTCATGTCCGTCCTCTTCCTCCATTGGCATGTCTGTCCTCTTCCTCCATATTCTTTGTCAACAGCAATGCATACAAATATATTTAGGAGAAAGGATCAGGTGGTTGAAAAACGTGTAATGAAAAAGTTGCACTCGAGGTAACAAGTTTGTAAAAAGACAACAAAACACATCCAGATACAAGGTAAGTAGGAGGATAATCGTAACCTTTGGATCACATTTCAGTTGACCAATATCAACACCTGGGTTGTATATATTGACGTCCAACCTCAGCTGGTTCCCCCGATCTGGGGTTACCAGATGACATTAATTGTACTTCAACGACCATGCTTTCAATTCCATCAAAATACCCATCAGGATCCAGCACTCACAGGAAACCTCAAACCTGAAAATTTTTGTGTTACAGTCATCAATTCTCCAGGTAATCACCCGTAACAACAAGCACCGAGTTGGTCTTCTTCCTCCTAGAGGTGAGACTGATAAGTAAGACCACGAATATAGTATAAGAAGCAGTCAAAGGGGTCAGAACTCTGGAGGAACCCTGTGCAAATGGGTTCTTCATCATAGGTTCTTACTCTTCTCCAACCTGAGCAGACCCAACATAACAGGTGTTGGTAAGAGTTACTTACAATGAGATTAACAAGTCCTGTAATATAGTATATGAAGGAGTCTGAGGTGTCAGAACTATGGAGGAACCCTGTCCAGATAGGTTCTTCATCATAGGTTTTTACTGTTCTCCAACCTGAGCAGACTCAACATAGTAGGTTTTGGTAAGAGTTACTTATAGTGAAATTAACAAGTCCTGTAATATAGTATATGAAGGAGTCTGATGAAACTCTGGAGTCTTCATCAGAGGTGTCAGAGGACTCTGGAGGACCGCACTGTGACGACAGATAGGAAGTCCCTCAGGGCATCAGTCCCAGGTTGCCCTTCTTACTGGACTTCTCCCAACCAGGTCGCGGCCCCCGAGACACCTCAGCTGCGGTAATGGCCGCCGCCAATGGCGTGTTGGTGAGAGACAAAAGAGTAGTCAGACAAGCCGGGGTCAACAACAACAGGACAGGACAGTACAGGACAGCAGACGAGAATCCTGTTCAATCAGATCAAATGAGAATCAAAGAATAGTCAAGACAAGCCGAATCAGATACCAGAGTCACGAGAGTCAGAACAGAGTCAGAACACAAAGACACAAGACACAAGTGCAAAGAGCATGTGCGGGCCACAGGCTTATATGTCATCAGCCACACCCCTCTGGAGGATCACAGAAACCTGAAGGCATAAAAGGGCTCCCATCATGCACAGCAGAATCCAAGATGGACACCAGCACATGAAGTAACATAACCACAGGGAAAAGGTAGGACCTTGACAGGTTCTTACTCTTCTCCAACCTGAGCAGACCAAACATAATAGGTTTTGGTGAGAGTTACAGTGAGATTAACAAGTCCTGTAATATAGTATATGAAGGAGTCTGAGGTGTCAGAACTCTGAAGGAACCCGGTGCAGATAGGTTCTTCATAATAGGTTCTTACTCTTCTCCAACCTGAGCAGACCTAACATAATAGCTTTTGGTAAGAGTTACTTACAGTGGGATTAACAAGTCCTCTAATATAGTATATGAAGGAGTCTGAGGTGTCAGAACTCTGGAGTAACCCTGTGCAGATAGGTTCTTCATCATAGGTTCTTACTCTTCTCCAACCTGAGAAGACCTAACATAATAGGTTTTGGTAAGAGTTACTTACAGTAAGATTAACAAGTCCTGTAATATAGTATATGAAGGAGTCTGAGGTGTCAGAACTATGGAGGAACTCTGTGTGGACATCATTCCTCCCGGTACAGTCCAGATAATTCTCAGTTTATCTGTCTACAGAGGAGAGTCCGGTATAGGACCACATCAATGAAGATGGAGAAGAACCGAAGTCACATGACTGAGAAGATATTGGACCTCACCCTTGAGATCATCTACCTGCTGACCGGAGAGGTGAGGAGGATTCTGGGGTCACATGACATCACTCTTATCTCTATTAATAAAACACGGACCTGACCGAAGAGGTGAGGAGGATTCTGGGAGGTCACATGACATCACTCTTATCTCTATTAATAAAACACAGACCTGACTTGAGAGGTGAGGAGGATTCTGGGAGGTCTGCAGTGATAATTGTAATTTTCTCTCTTTACACAGGATTATAAAATAGTAAAGAAAACATCTGGCGAGCCTCCACCTCACTGCTTGACAACAGAGATAACCAGCGCCAAGCAGATTCTAGAAGTTGCCAACAAGATCCTTGATCTGCTGACAGGAGAGGTGAGCGTGCCGGGAATTCTGGGACATTCTCCAGTAACAGACAAGGGATGTGTCTGGATGGTGACTGTATCATTGTGTGTGTCAGGTTCCTATAAGGTGTCAGGATATCACTGTCTATTTCTCCATGGAGGAGTGGGAGTATTTAGAAGGACACAAGGATCTCTACAAGGACGTCATGATGGACAATCAGCCGTCCCCTCACATCACCGGGTAAGAGGAGACTTTATTGTAAAGGAGAGAGCAGTACAGAGGGTCCACCTAGATCCCCCATCATCTGATAAACACATAGAAACAATGGATTCAGTCAGTGTGTGTGTTTCCTACAGATGGATCCAGTCATGAGAACCCACCAGAGAGATGTCCCCGTCCTCTATATTCCTGGGATTCCACACAGGAAGATTACACCATCCCTCACAATCATCAGGTAGGTGGGACTGAGCATGTGGATCTATAAAATCTAAGCTATGAAATCACATAATTCTATGTAATCTTTTGCTCTCTTCAGAAATCTATAATATCATCTTTGGGTGAAGAACTGAAACACATCAAAGTTGAGGATCAGGAGGGATCAGAAGAGACATCGGTGAGTGGAGATGAGCAGTCTGTGGAGGAGGATGGTCCTTTGTACTCCTGGGATTCCATAAAGGAAGATCACAACTACTCACACCAGGATGAACCTTCTCTAGATATCATCAGAGGTGAGAATGAATGCTAAGCACAGAACTTATCCAGATATATGGATTGATGATTTAGAATATGAAGACCTTCAAATTATCAGGTGACATGATTTCTACATGGAAGTCCCAACAGATCAGCTGCCTCTCATGTCACTAGGGAGCTGAGACTTTATTGTAAAGGAGAGAGCAGTACGGAGGGTCCACCTAGATCCCCCATCATCTGATAAACACATAGAAACAATGGATTAGTCAGTGTGTGTTGGTTATGTGTTAGAGAAGACACTAGTAGCTTGTGATGAGGCAGAACTTGGTTTACTTGTGTGGCTTAAGTTGCAAACATACAACACATTTCAGCAGACTGTAACAGCAGACATCTTGGTTTTGAAGAGAGAGAGAGAAGAGAGAGAACCAACAAGTTTTACACATATGCACAACTGGTAACCTTAGTGTACAGTGCCATCTATTGGTCAAGTGATATTACTACACAATACTGTATATAGTACATGCTGTTGCATTCTCAACAGTGTTTGTGTTTTCTACAGATGGATCCAGTCATGGGAACCCACCAGAGAGATGTCCCCGTCCTCTGTATTCCCGGGATTCCACACAGGAAGGTCACAACATCCCTCACCATCATCAGGTAGATGGATTCAGTAATGGGAACCCACCAGAGAGATGTCCCTGTCCTCTGTATTCCTGGGATTCCACACAGGAAGATCACACCATCCCTCACCATCATCAGGTAGGTGGATCCAGTAATGGGAACCCACTAGAGGGATGTCCCCATCCTCTGTATTCCCGAGATTCCACACAGGAAGATCGCACCATCCCCCACCACCATCAGGTAGGTGGGACTGAGCCACAGTGTTCCAAAATAATTCTAAACATTATTTATTCTATGGTATGTAATCTCTTGTTCATTTTTTACAAATGTATTTTATTATATTTGGGGTTTAGGGTGGAGAACTGAAAGCCATCAAAGTTGAAGATAAAGAAGAGAGGTTGGTGAGTGGAGATCAGCAGTCTATGGAGGAGGGGGAGATGGTTATGAAAAGTAAACAGGAGGAATCTTCTCTACATATGGACACAAGTAAGTCATATTAAGGGGTCTATTTATAGAAAAAAAGTTTTAGTTATTTGTCCAGCAAAATTGCTTGAACATTCACTCCATGCAAATAACCAGCATTCACCATATGAAAGGTCCATCTCCATTCATCAATATGACGTCATGTTCCCAACAAATGAGGGGGAGATACTGGACACCATATGAAAGGTCCATCTCCATTCCTCAATATAACGTCATGTTCCCAACAAATGAGGAGGAGATACTGTATGACTGAAATGAAGAAGTGAAAAATATTGATAAGTTTTATGAAAAAACTTTCTTTCCAACAGATGGACGCTATATTCGGGAAAGTTCTGAGGGACAACTTACTTTACTTCCAGAAAAGATTGCACGGGACGGTTCCAGAGTATATCCCATTACTCAGAGTACAGACCACAGACCTCATCTTTTAGAGCAATCAATGGATATATCCAATCCTGAGGAATCGTCTGATAGATCACATCATGTTACTCCAGATATCCTTCTGAGGTCTCACAGTACAGACACATCAACAGATCCATCTCATCTCCAAGAATCTTCATTGGGTCATGAAGGTTTCCCCTCAGGACAGAGTTCCTTGTCACCTATAGAGTACAACAAACCTCTTACTGAATACCGAACATTTCTAAAACAGCGGAAAAGTCACAAGAGTAAGCATTCTCTCTCATGTTCAGAGTGCGGGAAGTGTTTCCTTGCAAAAGCAGACCTCCTCAAACACCAGAGGATTCACACAGGTGAGCGTCCTTTTTCTTGTTCAGAGTGCGGGAAATGTTTTATCATGAAAGAAAACCTTCGTAAACACAAGAGAATTCACACCTGTGAACGTCCTTTCGCGTGTTCAGAGTGCGGGAAATGTTTCATTATGAAAGGATACCTTCTCAAACACCAGAGAATTCACACTGGTGAGCGTCCTTTCTCATGTACGGAGTGCGGGAAATCTTTCACTATGAAAGGAGACCTTTATAAACACCTTATCATTCACACTGGCGAGCGTCCTTTCTCATGTTCGGAGTGCAAAAAATGTTTCTATCGCAAATCAGACCTCCTTACACACCAGAGAACTCACACAGATGAGCGCCCTTTTCCTTGCTCAGAGTGCGGGAAATGTTTCATTACCAGAGGACACCTTTATAAACATCAGAGAATTCACAAGGATGAGCTTCCATTTTTATGTTTAGAGTGCGGGAAAAGATTCTATGACAAAGAAAAACTTCTTGAACACCAGAGAATGGACATGGGCGAGTGCTCTTTTTCATGCTCAGAATGTGGGAAACGTTTTTTTCGCAAAACAGACTTCCATATTCACCAGAGAAGTCACACGGGCGAGCGTCCTTTCTCCTGTTTAGAGTGTGGGAAATGTTTTAATCGGAAAGGAGATCTTCATATTCACCAGAGAATTCACACTAGTCACCCTTCCATCGCATGTTCAGAGTGCGGGAAATGTTTCACTGTAAAAGACAGTCTAGTTGCGCACCAAAAAATTCACACAGGCGAGCGCCCCGTTCCCTTGCTCAGAGTGCGGGAAATGTTTCATTAGGAAAGGAGACCTTCTTAGACACCAGAGGAGCCATACGGGCGAGCGCCCTTATTCGTGTTCAGAGTGCGGGAAAGGTTTCAGCCAGCAAGGATCCCTTGTTATCCACCAGAGAATTCACACGGTGTGAGCGCCCTTATTCGTGTTCAGAGTGTGGGAAATGTTTTACACATAAAGGAAATTTAACTAAACACCAGAAAACACACACCCACACTGATGCTGTTGAGAACTGTAGACTTTTAACTCAGTTGGAAGTGGCCAGTCCATAGGTGGGTTTCAGTGGGCAAGGTGGGTTTCAGGGGGCGAGGTGGGTTTCAGTGGGAGTAACTTTTGGCATCTTCTTTTTTATTGAACCTCCAGTAGTAAAATGTGCTTGCTCCAGTTGCTGTCACCTTTCCTGGTCACATTGGAGTCCTTGTTCCTCTTCCCCAGAAAGATCGGGAGCCCTCACAATGAGCGTGGCATGAACCCAAGAGATCTAAGATATAAGATCTAAGCAGATCGGGGAGCAACCAATATCCAAAATCCTCAGATTCTCCAGATGTAGCACCTACCTCCGTAGGAGCTCCTGATGTTGATGGGTCCTCTGTTCTGCCACAACTCTTAGAACCTTCAGATTCTCCAGTGGAGGGAGAAAGGATCCGAGTACAAGACAAGATTTTTTGGGCTATGCTTTGTTTTTGGGCATGCAGATGTAGCACCTACCTTCGTAGGAGCTCCTGATGTTGATGGGTCCTCTGTTCTGCCACAGCTTTTAGAACCTTCAGATTCTCCAGTGGAAGGAGAAAGGATTCAAGAAGAAGACAAGATTTTTTGGGCTGTACTTTGTTTTTGGGCATGCAGATGTAGCACCTACCTCCGTAGGAGCTCCTGATGTTGATGGGTCCTCCTGCTGCAATTTTTAGAACCTTCAGATTCTCCAGTGGAGGGAGAAAGGATCCAAGTACAAGACAAGATTTTTTGGGCTGTGCTTTGTTTTGGGCATGCAGATGTAGCACCTACCTCCGCAGGAGCTCCTGATGTTGATGGGTCCTCTGTTCTGCCACAGCTTTTAGAACCTTCAGATTCTCCAGTGGAAGGAGAAAGGATTCAAGAAGAAGACAAGATTTTTTGGGCTGTACTTTGTTTTTGGGCATGCAGATGTAGCACCTACCTCCGTAGGAGCTCCTGATGTTGATGGGTCCTCTGTTCTGCCACAACTCTTAGAACCTTCAGATTCTCCAGCGGAGGGAGAAAGGATCCAAGTACAAGGCATGATTTTTTGGGCATTGCTTTGTTTTTGGGCATGCAGATGAAGCACTTACCTCCACAGGAGCTCCTGATGTCGATGAGTCCTCTGTTCTGTCACAGCTCTTAGAACCTTCAGATTCTCCAGTGGAAGGAGAAAGGATCCAAGCGCAAGACAAGATTTTTTGGGCTGTGCTTTGTTTTTGGGCATGCGGGTGTAGCACCTACCTCTGAGGAGCTCCTGATGTTGAGGGGTCCTCTGTTCTGCCACAACTCTTAGAACCTTCAGATTTTCCAGTGGAGGGAGAAATGATCCAAATACAAGGCAAGATTTTTTTGGGCTGTGCTTTGTTTTTGGGCATGCAGATGTAGCACCTACCTCCGTAGGAGCTCCTGATGTTGATGGGTCCTCTGTTCTGCCACAACTCTTAGAACCTTCTTCACAGGAGCTCCTGATGTTGATGGGTCCTCCTGTTCTGCCACAGCTCTTAGAACCTTCAGATTCTCCAGTGGAAGGAGAAATGATCCAAGTTCAAGACAAGATTTTTTTGGCTGTGCTTTGTTTTGGGCATGCGGGTGTAGCACCTACCTCCATAGGAGCTCCTGATGTTGATGGGTTCTGTGTTCTGCCACAACTCTAAGAACCTTCAGATTCTCCAGTGGAGGGAGAAAGTATCCAAGTACAAGACACTATTTTTGGGCATGCAGATGTAGCACCTACCTCCGCAGGAGCTCGTGATGTTGATAGGTCCTCCTGTTCTGCCACAGCTCTTAGAACCGTCAGATTCTCCAGTGGAGGGAGAAAGGATCCAAGTACAAGACAAGATTTTTTGGGCTGGGCTTTGTTTTTGGGCATGCAGATGTAGCACCTACCTCCGTAGGAGATCCTGATGTTAATGGCTTCTCTGTTCTGCCACAACTCTTAGAACCTTCTCCACAGGAGCTCCTGATGTTGATGAGTCCTCTGTTCTGCCACAACTCTTAGAACCTTCAGATTTTCCAGTGGAGGGAGCTCCTGATGTTGATGGGTCCTCTGTTCTGCCACAGCTCTTAGAACCTTCAGATTCTCCAGTGGAGGGAGAAAGGATCCAAGTACAAGACACTATGTTTGGGCTGTGCTTTGTTTTTGGGCATGCAGATGTTGCACCTACCTCCACAGGAGCTCCTGATGTTGATGGGTCCTCTGCTCTGCCACAACTCTTTAGAACCTTCACCACAGGAGCTCCTGATGTTGATGGGTCCTCCTGTTCTGCCACAGCTCTTAGAACCTTCAGATTCTCCAGTGGAAGGAGAAAGGATCCAAGTTCAAGACAAGATTGTTTGGACTGTGCTTTGTTTTTGGGCATGAGGATGTAGCACCTGCCTCCGAGGAGCTCCTGATGTTGATGGGTTCTGTGTTCTGCCACAACTCTAAGAACCTTCAGATTCTCCAGTGGAGGGAGAAAGGATCCAAGTACAAGACAAGATTTTTTGGGCTGGGCTTTGTTTTGTTGTTTTGAGCATGCAGATGTAGCACCTACCTCCGTTAGTAGGAGATCCTGATGTTGATGGCTTCTCTGTTCTGCCACAACTCTTAGAACCTTCAGATTCTGCAGTGGAGGGAGCTCCTGATGTTGTTGGGTTCTCTGTTCTGCCACAACTCTTAGAACCTTCTCCACAGAAGATCCTGATGTTGATGGGTCCTCTGTTCTGCTACAACTCTTAGAACCTTCAGATTCTCCAGTTGAGGAAGAAAGGATCCAAGTACAAGACATGATTTTTTGGCTGTGCTTTGTTTTTGGGCATGCAGATGTAGCACCTTCCAGCCTGATGTTGATGGGTCCTCTGTTCTGCCACAGCTCTTAGAACCTTCAGATTCTCCAGGAGGGAGCTCCTGATGTTGGTTCTCTGTTCTGCCACAACTCTTAGAACCTTCTCCACAGGAGATCCCTCTGTTCTGCCACAACTCTTAGAACCTTCAGATTCTCCAGTTGAGGAAGAAAGGATCCCCACTGTGCTTTGTTTTTGGGCATGCAGATTTAGGTCCTACCTCCAGAGCTCCTGATGTTGATGGGCCCTCTGTTCTGCCACAACTCTTAGAACCTCTTGGTCCCCACTGACACTTGGTTAGAGGTAGAGGACTACTTACACCGGGATCATTTAAGTGTTAGTGTGATTCACAACAATATAACAATGCTCAGAAAATGAGGCCCAGACCACTAAATAACACATTAGGTAAAAGTATTATAGGAAAGTAGGTAAACAGTACAAGACTTGGCATCAAACAAATAAAACACATAAAAGCTGCAAAACTGAATAAGCTGACCAGTGGCTTGTAACAGGAAAGACTAACTGAACTGCGGCAGTGTACAATAAAGTTTTAACTGAAATAACTACTACAGAGTTCTTGAGTGCACTCTATTAAGATACCCCAGATGTGAGTATCCGTAAGTGTTTCTGGGTAGGGTACCCTATAAAGGTGGTGGCACAGTACCTGGCGCCTTAATATTAGTGTTGGCCGGCTTTGCGGTGGGGCCCCTCTGTCGGTGGTGCACGAAAGTCTGTCTCTTTAAGAGTATGAGGTGAATAGCTGTTTAGTAATGAGCGGACTATGTGGAACAGGATGTAGCAAGGTGTTGAATGTGGGTTCTCCTCTCACCACTCCTGGAAGGCGACCAAGGAGGAAATTGTGACCGCACAAGAGGAACCTTTCCAATACACGGGCAACAAAGAAGCAATGGCAACAACACAAACCAAGACAAATACAGGAACATCCAATCCAATCAGGATTTCTCTTGCATCAATGGACCTTTTGATAGGAAGCCGTTGGCTGCAGTACAACATCGATCTTTTCATGGTCCAGCCAATGTATAACCCTTCAGAAATGTAATATATATTTTTCCCTCAGTTATTCGAGATTTTATTGTTAATATAAACTTTGTATGTTACTTTGTATGTTTAACTTTTATTATTCTGATTTTCTAATACAAAAAGGAAGACTACACATTTACAGTAATCTGTTTTGAGTCCGTTTTTTTTTTTTTTAACCACTTGCCTACCGGGCACTTAAACCCCCTTCTTTACTGGGTCAATTTTCAGCTTTCAGCACTGTCGCATTTTGACAATTGGGCGGTCATGCAAGATTATACCCATATGAAATTTGTATAATTTTTTTCTCACAAATAGAGATTTCTTTTGGTGGTATTTAATTGAAGCTGGGCACTTTACTTTTTGCGCTATAAACAAAAATTGGAAAAAAAAAAGTTTCTTTGTTTCTATTATAACATTTTTCAAA